AACAAATGTGTGTGTGTGTGTGTGTGTGTGTGTGTGTGTGTGTGTGTGTGTGTGTGTGTGTGTGTTTGTGTGTTTACTTTGTCTGACGTTTGAAAGCACACAATGCCATAGAAAGGCTGTGGAAAAGACCGGCACATATATGGAAAGTCTCCATGAGAATAAAAGAACAAATGTGTGTGTTTGTGTGTTTACTTTGTCTGACATTTGAAACCACACAATGCCCTAGAAAGGCGGTTATTTCTTTGATAAGTTTTCTATGTTCAGAATAAATAGGCTATTACAGGGGTTTTCAAAGTATATGAGCATAAGCCCCCCGTGAGATACCAAACAAAAGACTGTGTCCCCCCAAAAAGTGTGTATATTACACACACACACACACACACACACACACACACACACACACACACACACACACACTGTTCTGTTCATATTTTAAAACATATTTTTATTTCTTTTTCTTCTTTTACATCTCTTAAATATCTGTGCTTTAAAATAAAAAGTATTGTTTTTAATCACTTCACAACCCTTTTCCTGTTTTCTTTCAGACTACGTTCACACTGCAGGTAAATGTGGCTCGAAGCCGTTTTTGTTTTGTTTTGTTTTGGCCCAATGCAACTTATCAGGTGTGTGATTCTGAATGCTAAGCCTCATTAATAAGACAGCTAAGTTCAGGACTGACACTGTTCTGTCCTCCTCTGACCATTCAGAAAAACACCAAGGAGGAAAGGCATCAGAGAGACTACCTCTGATGCCCCTCTCTAAACTACAGCTCAGAAAATTATATTATTATTATTATAATGTACTGATGTGACAGCAGGATTAATCAAACAGATTTAAGACCAAGCGAACATTAAAGATGACAAAAAACAACAATATTCTAGTTCCAACTGTATTGAACCATAGACTTGTTAAAAACCTGTTCATTTTGTTTGTTTGTGGCGCATTTTGCTACCTTGTGGGAACAATTTTCCAGAAAAAGTCTATGCACGGTCCCCAGCTGAGTTCTGCTCCATGCCTCTTTTGGTTCTGCGCTGCTGGTTTATTTTTGAATGCGAACATGTGAGCGGCAGTGGTGGACAGTAGTGGAGTATATTTACTCGAGTACTGTAATTAAGTACATTTTTTGAGTATCTTTACTTTACTTGAGTAAATATTTTTTGGGGTACTTATTACTTTCACTCCACCACATTTCAAAGGCAAATATTGTACTTTTTACTCCACTACATTTCTAGGAAGCTTTTAGTTACTTGCTACTTTTGGTTCAGCCTAGCTTTGTAATCAGCTGTTGCTGTTTTTCTTTCTTGGAATGCGATTGGCCACACTATCACAAGGAACCAAGCACATCTAGGATAGATTTCGAATCGCATTATCTTCATTAACAGTCGTGAGCTGAGCTCTCACCTACATTTCAAACAAATGGTAAATGGACTGAACTTATAGAGCACTTTATCAAGTCCCTTCAGACCCCAAAGGGCTTTACACTTACAAACAATCACACATTCACACACACACATTCACACATACATTCACACACACATTCACACACTGATGATGATAAACTACATTGTAGCCACAGCTGCCCTGTGCCAGCAAACATTTCTGCTCGTCATCGTAGAAACGATATTTCTTCATGGGACTGATCTCTTTTCTGCGAGATCACACAATTTTTTAGCTTTTCAGTCTTAAAACTAAATTAATAGGAACTTTTGACCCCAAGTATTGCAGGTAGAAGTATTCACACATCTAAAAAGCTATTGTCAACTATCATGCTTTTATTTTATAATTATTACTTGCTGCTTTTATCTCGCTGCAATAATCTGACAAAATAGCTTTGAAACTAAGAGGACGGAATTCCAGTTACACTATTGTTGGCCTCCATATCTGTCTTAGGAGTAACTGACATTTTTATTCTATCATGGGAGTGTGTGTGTGTGTGTGTGTGTGTGTGTGTGTGTGTGTGTGTGTGTGTGTGTGTGTGTGTGTGNGTGTGTGTGTGTGTGTGTGTGTGTGTGTGTGTGAGGGAAGTGTTGAGTGCAGATAAGAGGGTGGAGCTATCATCCCCACTATAACTTCACATTTCACAGCCAGAGGCACAAGTTTTCTCTCTGTTTCACTTATAAGAAGACAGCACATTTCATTTACAGGTAAGTGAAATACACTACTTATGATGTTTTAATAGGAGGTTTGTTCTCTTTATTTGCTTCTCTCACTGTTGAGATGCTTGCAGGGATCTAAAGCTGTTCCTAAGGGCTGTGTGGGACGGGAAGAGAACATAATATGTATTTCTTTCAGCTATGTTTTAAAGTGGGGTCAACAGGTTAATTTGGATTATCCCATATGGAAACATATAATTCAGCTGATTGATTAACTACAAGTCTTAAGAAGCTTCCCAGACTAACCTTTAATTAGTAAAAGTTTATGTGCTGCATAAACCAAAAATAAAATCCACTTCATATTTTCAGGTGTGAATTTTTAAGGAGATTCAATCTAATTTTTTGGCATTATATTCCTGCCAAAGATGCAAATACATGTTATATTATTTTATGCTATATCTATTTAGTGTTTTTTATTATTATTTTTAATTAAATAATAAATAAATTTATTTTGCTCAGTTTCAGGTCAGGGTAGAGTTGTGCTGCTGGAACAGTTTGCTCCATCAGAGGGCAGGTTGATATCCTGATATTGATTTTATTTAAAAAAATTTAAACATAGTCTCACAACACAATGTAATTAACTTTGCAAATAACTGTGAGGCTCCTCTGTTTTGTTTCATATTATTTTTYACATAGTTTGACCAAAGAGTGCGAATATCCTACGGGGGGTCGTGGGAGTTTACCTCTCTGGTCCACCTGTGTTTTGTGTACCTGGAAAAGGCTTATGACCATGTTCCTTGAGGTGTTCTGTGAGAGGTGGAGCAGGAGTGTGGACTTCCTGGGTTGCTATTAAGGGTTATCTGGTTCGTGCAGGACGGAAGCAGGAGCTGTGTCCGCATTCTTGGCACAAAGACCAGCTCATTCTCAGGTTAGGTTAGACTATGCCAGGCCCAATCCTGTTTGCACTGTTTATGGACAGGATGTTAAGGCGCAGTCGTGGAGAGGAGGGTGTCTGCTTTGAAAACCACAGAGTCTTGTCTCTGCTGTACGCAGATGATGGCTGTGTCCAAAACGGCAGGCCGGGTCCTCCAAAGGCCGAATTCGTCGGCCGCATACGTCACAGCCCCGCGACGAAGGACGTCCAAAACCGAAGACTCCTCCGATGCGGCCGACAAATACGTCCTTCCTTTTCCCCGATTTGAAGGACAGGTCCGATGGATCCTTCCCGGCCCAGCATATCCCATAATGCATTGCGGCCCGACCGGAGATTTGTTTAAGCTAGTAATGACGGACGAAGCGAGAGAAAAGAATATGTTTTAAATAAAAATATGGTGATATATGGAAATTAAAAAAAATTAGCGGTTGTAATTMTAATACTTTTATCATTTGTATGGACATGTTTTTAAATATTACTTTTATCATAAAAAATGCGAAATAAACATGCACCTACAGCGGGTCAATTAGTTCTTCAAATGTTACCTTTAAGTTAATTTTATAGTTTTGTGATATTAATAATGATAATATATTGATATTTTTCTGGTTTTGATTTAAGTTTGCTTGTTTAGCATCGTCACAGTTGCTAGGTGACATGACGTACGCCGGGGTAAGGAGGGGAGGCTAGACCGTCCAAATTCACAGCCTCTTTTTTTCCGGTCTTCCCGGTCTACCAAGGACCCGGCCCGCCGCAACCGGGTAGTCTGGGTCCTCCGGAGGACCCGGCCTGTCGTTTTGGACACAGCCGATGTAGTTCAGTTGGTTTCCTCGGGCCAAGACCTTCAGGGTGCCCTGGGGCGGTTCACAGCCGAATGTGAGGGGGCTGGTTTGAGAGTTCCGGGTTGAGGCGAGTCCCCAAGTGGAAGAGTTTAAGTATCTGGGGGTCTTGTTCACGAGTGATGGTAGGGTGGAGCAGAAGATGGATCGACGGATTAGTTGTGGTGAAGAAAGAGCTGAGTTGAAAGGAAAAGCTCAGTTTACTGGTCTATCTATGTTTTAACCCTCACCTTGTAATGAGGCGTGGATTATGCAACCTGTAATTTATTTCAGTTTGCAAATACTAGTTTAGCTGTTCAGAAAAGGTTGAAATTAACTGTAAACAAAATATCTGTATTTGACATGTGTG